AAGAGCACTGGCTGTTCTTACAGAAGACCCACATTCGATTCCCAGTATCCACGTGACAGCTAACAACCATCCATAACTCCAGTTTCAGGGGAATTTGATGCTCTCTTCTGATCTCCACGGGCTTATAAACATGCAGGCAATACACTCATACATACAAAATAAAAATAATATTATTTTAATTAGCCAGAAAGAAGGAAGAGCATATCCCTCTCACAAATATTGCACATTTTATAAAGTCCCTTTCTTTCTTTTTCTTTCTTTCTTTCTTTCTTTCTTTTTCTTTCTTTCTCTCTCTCTCTCTCTCTCTCTCTCTCTCTCTCTTTTTCTTTTTTCTTTCTGTTTTGTTTTGCTTTGTTTTGTGAGACACACAGGGTCTCACTGTGTAGCCCTGGCTGCCTTGAACCTCATAGAGATGTGCCTGCCTCTGCCTCCTGCATGCTAGAGTTAAAGGCCTGCGCCACCTCGCCTGGCTCACAGTCCTTTTCGTTCATTGACATGTCTTAGGGAACTGGCCTTTGTGCCAGAGAGTGTTTCAGCATGGTGATCATTGTGAGAAAGGAGGTAATACCAGCCTAAGAAGATGAAGACCAAAAGCCTCCAGAGTTGCAAATGATCATCCGTCCAGAGACAACAAATGCACTATTCTAAGACAAAAGGAACCTCCCCACCAAAGGGAGTGACAGCAACATGTGGCCAGACAGGAACAAAAAAATTGATACAATTGTTAGCAGGAAAGAAAAATTCCACAGTGCTGTTAGACTCATTGTGTATTAAGCTGCTACTGAGTTACATGACTCCATAGTGCTACATCACTGGACCACTTCCTCTCAGCATCCAAGATCCATAGCACCTATAATATGTAATTTCCTTCTTGTGCCTTTTATAACCACTTCTGACTTGGCATCACTCCCTCGGGAGTCAACTTTTGTTCTCTCTATAGTTTTGAGGGGTGCTTCATAATAAGTATCCTTTATAAATGTTTAAATTTTTCTTAGATAGGGTGCCCCTTTGTAGCCCAGGCTAGCCATAAATTTGCAGTCCTCTTCAGCTTGCCCAAAGGCTGGAATTACAGCATATAATACAGTGTTCAAATTAGTCCTGAGAACTCACTAGAGCAAAGGAATAAGATTTCTTTCCCACACACCTTCTAAAGAGAGCTAAAGAAAAAATCTTTCTCCCTTGGTAAATAACTATCCTAGTATAGTTTAGTCAAAGAGAATCATATATATACTAATTTATTTTTAATTTTTAAAAAAAAATTTATTGTATATAGGGGCTGGAGAGATGGCTCAGCGGTTAAGAGCACTGACTGCTCTTACAGAGGACCT